CTTCCACGACGCCTTGAATGGCTTCACATCTCGAAGCTGAGTGATAGATGTCTGTAAAGCCATTTTAACGAATCGAAGGGTTTTTGAATGAATAACAGAGAAGAAAGCTCAAGGTTTTTATAAGAATATATCATAGAAATGAATAGGTTTAGATTTATTGGAGAATATTCTGTCAAGTTTTATTTTTGGTACTGAAAATATTCGATTTGTATGTTGTCATAAAACAAATCTTTCTTCTTCTTTTTTTGTCATCCGAAGAATATATAAAGAAGATACGGATCATTATAATTATTGCTAAGAGTAAATCTTGGTAAAGAAAAGATTTACAAAAGATCATAATAACAAATAAATAAGGTAAGATATATCAAAGATTTTACGTCACACCCAAATCTAATCCATAAATTTCACCTCAATTCTCTTCAATGTAAACCTGATATGAAAAAAGATATACGGCAGTGAATAACCCCTTATTCATTGATAGATTTGTGTAGATTTTGTGGATTTTTGAAATTTTGAGATTTTAGAAATTCTAATGGATTGTTATTGATTCTTACAAAATATTCTTATGGATTTCTATGGATTTGACATTGATTTGTATTAACTTTTTTCTCTATATAAGGTAATATATATTTTCATACTTGAAGTTAATAAAATTTTCAAATATTTCATTTTAGGCATGTTTTTTTTTTAAATAAGACGTGAGCAAGCCAACCATTGCCATCATCGCTCTTCAAGTATTGTTCTTCCGACCCCATAGGTAATCACTTTCTTTTTACCATTATTTTAAATATTATATGTTTGCTGATTTGTTTGTTTGTTATATTGTTATGTTCTTATGTTTAACCATCGTTAGATTATTTGTGTTATATTTCTTGTGTTCTGTTTCATCTTTTCAACCAATCAAAATCGCTGTCACGTTTTTATACTAACTGGTAACTACGATTGGTTTTTAAATAAGATTATAATGGATGATGATGCTCAACAAAATAAAGAAAAGATGAAAAATAATTTGTGGAATTCGGCGGAGACTAAAGTCTTGATAGAACTACTTGTGGAGGGAATCCAACGCGGATGGCGCGATTCTAGTGGTTCAATCAATAAGGCAACTGTGGAGAATAAAATATTACCGGTTCTCAATGAAAGAATGAAATGCCAAAAAGTCTACAAAAATTATCAAAGCAGGTATAAGTACCTGAAATCTCAATACCAAAGTTATGTGGATCTTCAACATAACAGTTCTGGATTCGGATGGGATCCAACTACAAAAAAGTTTACTGCTACAGACGAAGTATGGCATGGATATTTAAAGGTATATTTTTCATAAAGTTTTGTATACTAAATTTTTTATTTTTAATATTTTTGATAATATTTGATAATTTTTGATAATTTTTTTATGAAATATTATAGGCACATCCAAATCACAAATACATGCGATACGACACCCATGATCAGTTTGAGGATCTCAAAACTATATTTGATGGTACAACTGCCAATGGTAGTAATTCAGTTGGATTGGGTGCTACTACAGATGCTCGCACATACCAGATTGGTGAAAATCAAGTAAAAGAAAACTTGAATTTTTATGAGAGCGTCGATGATGTTGATGATGCATCCCCTTTTCTGGATAAAAATATAAAGACTCGTGTAGAGAAGCTTCATCCGAGAAAAAGATCTAGATCGGAAGCATGCAATAATGCAGAGGAGCTGAAGAGCGATAACAATGACCCTATGATCACAGTGAGCAATAAGATCCTTAGTATTATAAAACAAAGAGAAGAGAGACAACAAAAAGAAGCTGAAAAAAAGAGAAGAAAAAAATAGATTGGAAGCCGAGCAAAGAGAAACCGAGAAGAAGAAAAATAATGTATGGGAAGCTATGAAAGAAATCTCTAATTTGGAACAGCATATCAAGTTTAAAGCGGTTACCCTTATCTATTCATTAGGAATGAAAGATATCTTTGCAGATATGTCCGTAGAAGAGCGCTATGGTTGAATCCAAACCAACATAAATTGATAGTTGTTTTGACTTCTCGATTGTTTCTTCTGTTTTATGTTCTTTAAAACTTTATTTGGAGCTTGCTTTTAAACTTTGTTTTGAGATTGCTTTATTATTAATAAAATAGATTTTGATTTTAAATTATAGTTTTCTTATTGTGTTCTGTTTCTTGACTTTGTGATTCTCAACAGGTGATGTCCTTTATTTCTAAGCTTGTAATATTCAACGTCTTTTCCATGACGTCTTTTGCATGTTGTACTGTTTTTCCGTTTTTCTATGTTTCAAAGATTCTTATAATAAAAACAATTTTTTGCTTGCAGGTTCTGTATCATGGACAACATCATC